AGTGGGAAGCCGGTTCTCCCCGGGACTCTCACATACCCCCGCCACTCCCTCGATCTGATGGCAGGGGATCCATTAAAGATTTTTACCTTGTAAAAAAGGCTCGGGAAGTATTACAGCCTCGTTTTTTTTTATGTGACTAAATGGCAAACGAGCTGTCGGTTCTCCTGATGTTAAGTAAAAACCGATGCCCATGGACATTTGCAACAGCCGTAGGGTTGCAAATGCGATGCCACCTTTTAAAAAAGTGAGCCCCGGCTACATCACTCCCAGGCGAAACGCAGAAGTGTAACATTTCTACTTTACGCCGGTCTTCTGTGTGGTCGTGATACTTACCCGGACGGACCTGCCCATTTTTAGGACACGTTTTTACACAACATTATCTAGTCGCAAACTAAGCAAAGCTTGTACTATGGGTACTAGAAAACTGATAAACATACTTAAACATACTTTTCCTTTGTAAATAAATACATATTATACATATGTTAACACCCGGACACTATAAAAATACTATGTTCATCACACAATATATATCCAGTAGTGGGGATCGAACCCACACCCTCTGGCTCAGGAGGCAGGTACACTACCCACAACGCCATTCGGGTCGTCAACATTGCAACAACGAACACCGTTGCGTGGCCCTACCACAGTTTAATACAAGAGCGGTTCTCGTTACCTTCTCGCATAGAGACCGGGCAGCGATTCCGCACGTGAGTAATACGGCACCGCACAGGACGTAGACCGTGACTCGAGTCTCCAATTACTAGACCGATGCCTGAACGCATTCGGAGGCGGATTTAGCAAAGCCTCTTCGTGGGATTCCGCTAGGTGACAACGGGGGCCGCTTTACCGCTATCCGGCTCGGAAATGTCTAATAAAAGTTAATAACATACCGCAACCGCCGCCGTCGACAGTCGCACACAATCGGCGGATCGCTTAATTAAGCGACGCCCCGCTACCCGATTTCGGCGGCCAAATATCGTCTCGATTCCGTATGGCGTGCGTCATATTGTGTTGGTGAAGTTTTTAAATGCGATCATAATGATCTTCGTCTATGTATAGTAATTTAAATTTACTTAAACTCAGATCCTACAGTAAGCGATAATAATTGTCATCAAATTTATTGAGTCCTTCATTCTTTATGAATAAAAAAAGGACAAAGGGAAACTAAGCCATCGAAACTATCAAAGTCGGCATGGTCAAAAGAAGTCTTTAAGTGTATGAATTAAAAAATACACATTATTTACATTTAATTATTCTATAATATTATAGCATAACATATACTACATAACTATTCATCAATTTATAAAAATACGCCGCACATGTGCAGAATCATTAACTAGGAACAAGTCTTCAAGATTGAATTTCACAAACTAATTTAGAAATAAATTAGTTGTTAGTTTGTGAAATTCAATCTTGAGTACTATTGAAGTTTATGAAATCTCCGAGTGTGAAATTGTTGTTTATGTTAATGTAGTAAAAGTGTACTTCTACGCTATGCTGTACCTTCGTTTTAGTCTTTTCGCACCAATGTCAATTATGAGTCCAACACCTTCGTTTAATCAATAATTTGTGCGTCACATTTAACACCGGTTGGGAATGGAACCCGGGATTGCCCCAACGGCTGTGAACGATTTCGGCGAGCCGCGTTGCATAATCGAAACATAAGACGAAAGGCGACGCGCTTGTAAAATATGGCGGTTCAATTATAAATTGAAAAAAGTCGATAACGAGTTTCCCCCGCGTCGCGTATAAAAATAATAATGCATTTCGTTTCAACTTCTGTTACCGTTAACACCGGCTTGCGCGTTTCCTCATATCGACTTTATTTACGTCGCAGACGTTTTATGATAAGCGATCTTATCTTTCGTTAATTTGGGAACCATTTTTCGCAATAAGTTCATGCTATAACGTCGAAAAGGCTGTATGACTATTATCTCACCTGATGATTTCTGCGGATAAGACGAAGATTTTTAACGAATTACTTATATCTGTATACATATATCACCGTATCGTGTGTTATATGTGTCTTTCTACTCGTGCGTTTTTCGAGAGCAGTTGATCTAACATGTTTTTTTTTTGCCAAATAAAAGGCAAGAATTAAATAACAGGGTGTATACTTTGGTTGGAACCTTTTGTGCAGAAACTCACCAAGGTCAGTGTGGTAGGGCCACGCTGAACAGTCGCTTTTGCAAGAATGGGCAGCTCCCAAATGTAACCGGAACCCTCTTATTAAAAGGTGGCAACGCATCTGCTAACCTACGTGTGTTGCAAATGTCCATGGGCGGCGGTTAGCACTTAACATCGCCTGTGAGCCGCCAGCTCGCTCGTCAGCCTTTCGGCTGGTGGAGGATAAACACCATTGACCGTTTGAATCCGGGACTTCCCCGGGCCGCGCTGGCCGTTCCCATTGACGTGGCAATGGACTTTCGTGCCTCGGACGATAGACACCCATCCAACCGTCTTTCTTCCGGTCGCAAAGTCGACAACAACACTCGTCGGAACACCGTGTTGTTGAAATCGACCGTCGGTCTCCGAGACAATGTCGTGTTTACCGCCTCTGATATGTCTACCGTGTATTGGTGTGAGAACTGAAACATACAACACTACAAGCATCCTGTGTGTTTGGTGTTCCACAAACAATTTTAATGCACAAACTGTGCCGATTGCTGTGCCGTGTTGTCGGTTCGATCCTCGCACGGAGATCGGATCTGAAACATTTATTTTAACGTTATAGTGTAGTATTTAGTAAAAATTAGTTATACCCTAGTGCCGAAGTCATTGTTAGTTACCGTCAAGAAGAATACATAATGCTTTAGATTTATTCCGTTTTTACAATGTCAAGTAAGTTGCTCAATTAGTATCCTTCATAAGGTTAAACATGGTGTCTCTATATATTCTCAAAGTTTTTTTCGGTAGGTCGGTAATAAGTTCCATAAATCTTCATCAATTTTAATGATTCGAACACCGTTTTAATATACAATATTTATAAAAAAGTAGAATAAATTTAATTTTTTCTTAAAAAAAAAACTAAACTGTTAGTAAAATTTCTCTTAAAGAACGTATGATAATGCCATCTCTTGACAATTTGTTTAAATTGAAAATAGAGATTTAGACAGAAAAACGTGAATAACAATTTAAAATTAAATACATATTTTATTTATATCATTAACATAATATACATACATAATAACCTTTCGGTGATTGATCCTTACAGTGTGAAATTGTCAACTAGTTGTATATATATATTTCTATACAATTGAGGATTCTTAAGGCTATAAAGATCTCATCTTATTTGATCTAACTGAAAAACTAAAAACTGTTTCTATAATAGATATAATGTTTCAATCATGTACGCAACGTTTATCGTCCTCAATAAAAACTTGTTTTATTTTCAACGCTTTGTTAATTTTGTTATCGTTAACAAGCAACACATGTCATTGTTTTGAAACTGTTACAATTGATGTAATACGATTTTATAGTAGGGCTCATTGTCTCGCTGTATTTTGTCTCAGCGTATCGGCTTGTGTGTACTAGTGATATTACTGCCCTTCTGTAGTCTCGGATTGGATTTTACAGTTGAATAGGAAAGCGTGAATCCCGTTTCTTTTAATTCGATTCTACGAACGAAGACGTTATTAAATGCCGTTATTATTCTTTCAGTTCTCTTCATCATCTCTCTCTTGAACAACATGTCCGTTCATACTTCTCCTAGTTTTACATCGTCCAACCACATCAATCATCGTCACTCTCCTTTCAACCCTATATATAAAATTCTATGTATGTATGACTATGGACTCCAATTTTGACGGGCGGAGAGACCAATTTTGATGAAATTTTCCGATGAACTTATAATATTACTTACTACCATATCGTTAATAAATATATGCAATGCGATCAGATATTCTCCAAAGGTCTTCCTTCCGCTACCGTGAATATTTCTTACGCTTTTATTTACGCGTTGCGGGTCAAAGTATACTAGCCACTCGGCTTATATTTTATCGCGCCGTCTGCCGTGACAAAGGCGGTCGGTATGCGTGATTCAGCCCCGACGAAGGGAACTATGCGTGCGATGTTTACGCCTTCCAATAAGTGATTTGTCTCCCATTTATCGAATCGTATTCCTCATAGGACTCGATGGTCCGAGGAATTTGTAGGATCAATACTACCCGCTTGCTTTCACTAAAGTATAACCCGGCCAAATTCAAACCACCATCGATACCATCTTGATATTTTGAAGTTCACGAGAAAATTTTCGTGTCTATCGAGAGTTCCGGGATCACACGACTTTGGAACCGTCTAGAAGGATTGCGTTAGCTCTACCTAAAGAGCCAGCAACACGGCGGATGAATGCGGAACTCTCTGTCGATCAGCTTGCCATCAATAGCGAGGTGCTTTATTGCTATTATTGTGTCTATTTTTATTTATCTTAAGATATTTAAGTGCTCATTGAGTTATGATGTATTTTAGCCGTGTTAACTGGCGTCAAAACGTCACCGCTAGTCGACTCCCAACTTTGTCGTGTGTAAACGACAGCACATACTGTGGATTTTGTCGCGACGCCCGGGGACCTTGGCGGGCTGACGCGAGTCGGCTCGGCGCGCTCTGTCCACTCGGCCCAGCGACGCGCCACCGCCGGAATGTCATTTGTCGATGATCGAACGCGTGACGTCACGGCGTCACGTAGCCCGCGTTTTTCGGCGGGAAAACACTATGCCTCTAGGCTTGTTTGTGCGTCGTTTTATTTTTTTTTAATTTCGTTAAAGGCCACCGAGTCTAGCGCGTGCCGATAACTGTTTACGTATGAAATTTTGTTTCATTGACGATTCTAATCGGAATAAGGTGGATCGTAATTAGCTTATTGGTGTTTCCTGTATAGTCAGGTACACTCTTAATGGATTTAGTCGGATGGGTGGTTGCCTCGTGCGTGCCTTTCGACCGAAACACATCCCGGGTGGGTATTTTTAGCGTGGGCGTTCGTGTCCGAGCGCGCTGCTCCGTTAGACTGCGTGGCACCCGCCAACCGCCCCGCACCGCGTGCCAGGGTTTGGCAATCGCCCTGTCGAAACGCACTCGCCCGCCGATCGCACCGCATTAATCTTTTGCGTAATCCGCGCCAGCGCTATCTGGTGGACATTCCTCGGATGTTTGGCAACGCGGCTCGGATTCTCGGTAGTGTCGCCGGGCTCGGCCGGTCTCAGTCGGTCTCGATCGGTCTCGGTCGGTCGACTACGGAGACGGCGCTGCAAGTGTGTAAATGTTAATGTTTTACGCCCTTCGCCGCGTTCAATTTGTTACAAAGCCGGTGAGTGTAGACAGCATGGCTCGTTCAGCTGTGTGGTGTTCGAAACGAAGAGTAGAAGCAATTAAAACGCGATTTAATCTGTGAAATATTTTCATTTACAATATTATATAGTATTCCAAACACATATTGCAGTAATTGTTAATTAAAACGATATCCTTTGACTGTTTGTTCTCTTGATCTTTAAATTGTGCTTGCTTGATTGAACATAAAATTACACATAATTCACCAATCAATTGCCACGTCGTAGAATAATTATAAAACAGTACAAACGTAATGAATATAAGCAGAGAACATTCTCAACCTAAACACTTATTTATACATAAATGCATACAAGCATGGTTTGGGGTTACCTTATATTACAGTTACTTCAAAAATATTTATTTCAATTTTAATTTTTCGTTCGCGAATCTTTCGTTCTTTACTATAGTATCAAGTCGAAGAAGCGACTTTGTGTCGCTTGGTATTCCTGGAAATGTTTAGGCAAAGGTTTTCTTTCTTTTTAAAAAAAACATTGCCCTTACATTAGGATAACATTATCCTGTGTTGTAAGGACGTTTTACAAACATAAACTGCGCCACGGAGTCATCAAGGCAAAGGTCAGAAGGTGTACCAATTACTTTTAAGTTTTCAAAGTCTAACGTGAGAAAATCATCGTCGATATTGGTGCCCGTATAAGAGTAACCTAAAAAACTATCCCCTCTTTGAGTTAAAAGGCGTTTGAGTTAAAAGGAGTTTTATTTGTGGTGTTTCCGGGTGGGCATCATCCTATGTTTTCGAAAAGTTTCCTAAAGAATTACCTTAGACATAAACCGACTTGTTGAACAGGCTTATAGGGAGAGAAGAGAGAAGGGAAATATTAGTAAACTTTTGTTTTAAACTATTAGTGAATGCGGTATCCGAAACCGAAGCAACCTCTCAAAACCTCTTAAACATTAGAAACACCATTGCAATCCCACCTCAGGTCCGTATATGGTGCAGTCACTAACTAATCGTCTAACGCCTGTTGAGCTTCCGGCTTGTCAGCTATCTCTCATAAAGAAACTTGGCAATGCACCACTGGTAGTGTGTAGACCCACACGTAAAAAAGTAACTAGAAGGCACCGCATTTTCTGCCACACTGAAGCGCATTCAAGTTGAAACGCCATCGAGTCTGGAGGAGGGATTGATCCCAAGCGGGTGGCAACTTCGACGCTTCTATTTTCGGAAACCGTTCCACTGTACTTCGGCCGAATGCGTGCCGTTTTGCAATGGACGGTATTGGCATCCCACGTATGCCTGATGCTCTCCTATTTTTTTATACGAAAAGTTCACATACGAGCTGGCTCCCGATGTTCAGTGGTAACCGCCGCCCACGGACATCTGCAACAAATTAGGGGTTGTCGATGCGTGATAACGTTTAAGGTGGGCCTCGACTATCATCGTTATATATTACCACGAAGCTTGTATCATTAGATGAAACGCGGAGGTATAATACACTTCCACTTCACGCTGATACTCAGTGTGTGTGCTGTTTGTTGCTCTTCCCTGGGAGTAGACCCTCGCGCAATAGCAGAAACTGAAGTGAGGCGCTACCGTTATATATCGAAGGTTCTTCGATGGATACCCAACCTTTGGTCGGCGGAGAGAGTTATGTGTGATTCCTACTCATTTCCACTCAGCGGCGTTAGGAAGATATTATGATTTATGCGTCACGTTTGTACAATAATCTAGAAGACCTGCAAAAGTGGGGACATGTTCATAGAGGAGTGTCACTTTTAACTACACTGGGCTTTTTGAAGAGTTCCAGAACATTTCCCTTGAAGTTCTGCGGTCCTAGTCTCGTTTAAGTCAGGGACTACACAAACTTTCTATTCTGTATGTCTGAGCATTGTGACGCCTGACAGTACAGACTATTATAAATATTATTATTTATTGTAAAGCTCTCAAAGTGTTTTTCATCCTGGAAAGAAAAGGATCAGCAGTTCTCGTGTTTTAAACACAAATGCCCAGGCAGAGGCGTGTTATGTAAAAGGTGGTTCTTGGGGTCACGGACGAAAAATTATGTCGTTTCCATTGACTATATTTCGTTGGTTTCGTGTGCTAATGTAAGGACGTCTGATGTGTAGTTTTGTATTTAGATTCCTCGCAAGTGCCAGATGAGTCTTAGGTACTGGATTTCTATTATTTATGGACGAGTTTTGAGACCATCTTAACATGGCAGCTACTTTAGGTTTTGTTAAAGATCTTTATTTTGTTACGTTATAGCTTTAGTATGCATCTGATGTTCGTGTTTAGAAACGGTATAAAAGTATACAAGGGGTCTAAAAATTTGCAGATAAGGTGTCTTGAAGCGAGTTATGTCTAATTAATTGTCTAATCAAAACACGAATACGTGTACATAAACATTGCAATTCTAACGGTGTTAATTCTTTCAAAGCGTACGTACATTGTTTGCATGTGTGCACGGGTCCTTTGGTGTGCGTCAAGGGATTCCGTGACACGGGTCAGAGTTTCCTAGAACCCGGCTCGTCTTGATGTCCCGCTGACAGGACTGGTTTCGCTCGCGACGGGCAACATTGTAGCACGCGGCCGTCTCGCTCGCACCTAGAGCGGCGCTCTCGCCGTCTCCCTCTCATTGCATTGGATGCGCACGCACGCCCCCTCACCCCCGCGCCCCGATAAGGCCGATTGCGCACCGAAATGGACGCCCGGCTTTCGGTAGCGCGGTCGTATTCCCATTGAGGACCCCACAGAGCAAGTAATCGGGTACACGTACCGAATAACGCGCAGTACCTTTTATAAAGGACGGTAACGTTACGTTGGATGAAACTTGCAAGTCTGCTGTCTCCGATTTTTTCCCTGCGGGTTAGGCCCGTTTTTTACAGCAGTCGACTATCTGGCGGAACGGAATTTTCCACCGCCTGCCTACCGCGTATGCGCTCGTTAAGCTCTTGGTGTAACATACACCAGGTGACGCGCGAGTTGAAAGAGTAACTTGACCTCTTTCGAGCTCACGTGGCGTTTTGTCTCGCACACGATTCGCGGCAAAGCGTTTTACATCACGATGCCGATGAAGATTTTAACACGATTTGTACTCGCGTAACAAATAAGTTTATCGCCTATACTTCAACTCGCAACGTCCACACAACCGCCCCACCACTGCGTCTACTGTGGCTGGTACTATCAATTGGCCGGGCGAATCTTATTCAGTAATCGCCATCATTCAAACGCGCACAAAGTTAAGTCCTCAGTTAAACAACTATTACTTTTGGCTTGTTTTCATTCGTCATATACATGGCATTAGGCCAGCCAAATAGCTCGAAGAACCGATAAACGTTGGGAAGAAAGGTTCTCCTCGGGCGGCCCCCGTTAGATGAAGTGACGGCCTGTGTAAATGTGCAGGAAGCCGATGGATGCAGGTGGCTCAGGATCGTGCTTTGGGGATCTATGTTCAGCAGTGGACTCGAACAGTCTGAAATGATGATAAAACGTGGCATTATGACAAATTGTCGGCGAAATTCTTCCGCACACAATTTTGTTTTCGTCGTTGACGCCTATATAGATTTCCATAAATGCGGACATTAGGCAAGCGTTATAGCATTTATATATTGACCCTTTAAAACACATTTTGAAAAGATGGCGGTCAGAATGTATTCCCATGCATTCTTAAAGACTCCGACCCGCCCACCGTTGGAACTCAATTAAGCTGCTTCTGCTACGCTGCAAAGTTCCCACGGGACAGATGTAGTAAGCTATTAAGAGCGAACGAAAAAACAATTCCAATTAGGGCGATTATTTCCAACAGACCCCTCGAATAATTTGGTCCGTTTCGATGATCCGGGCAACAGTCGATAGAGAACAATTGACTGTCCCTAATTCCGGGTAGTGGGACCCGGGTGCGAGTAGTCAGGCAAAGATGCAATATTAATCTTGTCGTGTTACGTGATTTCTTCAATAAATTTGTGTAAGTTAACTTAAGCAATCTTATAGTCTCTATTAATAGCTTATTCAGTTTTAAATGTTATTACATTATTTACTATACGGGTATATAAGTATCCTATTCATTCATATACCGCTAAGAAAATAAAATTATCACTACGTCTAGGCCTTGGTTGTCAAATAAGGATGAACAATTAGGTTGAACAATACAACCCATCGATAAAATTACTTTTACCGTCAGAATATAACATTAATGATCCTGGCAACCGATAATTGCAAAAATAGTTAAATGAAAAGAAACAATGAATGTCATTGTTATTTACTGCACGTTAAGGAAAGAAAAATTGATGGTGCCTCGGGTAATTGGAATCCCTCCCGCCAAGAGAATTGCACAGATAATAAAGAGTTAATGTTAAATTAAACATTGCCTCGCCAGCACTGGCGGACTGCAAAAGACATTTATTTCTAAGACACGAGCTTTACATCAGATGTGTTCATGCAAATTGTTCGTCGCTCGAAATTTCTCTTATCAGCGTGTTGTAATAGCGCCACTTAACGATTCTTATGCATTAATATTCAGAGACCATTATTTTTTTTTTAAAAAATAATGTAACAATTTAGCGCCTAATGATAATATTTCGAATTCTTGAATGGATCTTAGATAAGGAGAAAACAGTTTTAATAGAATATTATGTTTATTGTGTAGAGGTAGGTGACCATTATAATAAAGCCTTTTATCTTGCTTTTACAGTATTACAAATGTATCTTCTTTTTTTACAAACTGTATGCCTTGCCAAATATTTATAAAACTACTTTGTTGGTTGGTTCGGAAAACTGTATTGAAAATCCAGATTGAAAATCACAGTAATGTCATAAAGTATATTAACATAATTATATGCATATACGTAAAACGTTTTTGGGTATGCTTGTTCTGTCTTACGCCCTAATGTAACAAATAGAGATAGTTCACAGACTAGATTAGAATTAAAATATTTTTAACTGGTAAAAATCAACTATTGGATTTCCAAAAGTAACACACAAAAACAAAAAAAAAATGTATAAATTTGAAATATATGAATAAATCGAAAAATCCTCTAGAATACAGCCCTGTAGAGTACTTCAGAAGTATAAATGCACTAAGAAATTTCACAACAACACAACATCGGCGCACCACAGGGAAATTCTCAACTCTCCCAACTACTGATTGATCAATGGACGTTGAGGGTATGCCCTACCCAGACTCACATTCGACACAAAGTCAGGACATGTTCATTATATCTAGACCACAACCACGACCGTTAGATATTACCCGCAAACACGGTACTATTTACGCCCACTATAACGATGGCCATAGAGCGAAAGACTGAAATCGTTGTCCAAATGTCTACGTTATGGACAGACATTGCCTCGACAGTGGCAGGCATGCGAGACAGAGTCGTTTTTGGGTGCTAATTTATTTCACTCGATTCATACATCAAACTCGACCTACCCGCACAAGCATTGACAGTACTACATCCAGTAATAAAATCTCAGACAGCGAACACTACATCACCGAGCTCTTAAAGGAATGCCCAAAATCCTCACAGAAAAGAAATAATCGCCACATCTATGAATATTGAACTACTCATCACAAATAACCACCCGAATAGAATCAACAATAAACTCATTTAAGAAACACATAAATAAAATAATACTAAAACTAAACACTCGAACAAAGTATCCCGAAACACTACATAACGAAGCCAATAAATGTGTAGATAATTATCTACTACTAACAAATAAAAACCACCAATAAGAAAGAAAACCACACACAAGCAAATATAAAATCCAAAATCTTAGCCCACTGGGGATCTATACTGTTTGCTTTCCCAAATGGGAAGCAGGCTGCACAATTCTGCACTATGGCGCAAAGCAAAACAACAAACTTGATAATTGGTAACTGCTGCTCAATGAAATTGAGAAAATTGCGTTATCGCTTTTAATAAAGTGTGCCCGGTTACCTCACTAACCAGACGAAACGCAGAAGGATAATAAATCCTCTTCACGCCCGTCTCTGAGGTTGTGGTACTTTCCTGGTCGATCCTGCCCATTCCAAAGACCAGAAAAGACAAATGTGTGTGTCACGTGGTGAAATATACATTGGTTCGTCGCAATGGCATTCTTTCGACATTCTAATGACTAATATCGGCAATCGTTCCTTTATAACGGTATCGATGTACGACTTCATCGAAATTTCCCTAAGAAAGCTATCACTATCCGAGTGGTAATAGAACGTTTAATTGTTTCAGATACACAAAGCCGCAATCGTTCGCGGACTGCATCGGCAATGAGCTACCACTCGGCTGGGAGGAGGCTTACGACCCTCAGATCGGGCCCTACTACATCAACCATCTCAATCGTGAGTACCTTTTCGATGCTTGGTTGTATTTGATGACGTCATGGTCATGACGTCGCAAGTCACGCAGGTGAAATACTGCGAGCATCCTTGACGTAATGCAGTGTGTACGATGTGTCACCTGAAAGTGTGAACCAGCTGGTGAAATCTAAATGTCACCTACATTTAGATTTCACCAGCTGGTTTGTTATTCTTTTATGCCACAACGGAGCAACATTCTGTCATGACCTACGTAGGTGAGAAGAAGAGTAAGTAGATTTAGTTTTACCCCGGATATTGCACGCATTCGGAACGGTTTTGGAGTGCAATGCTGTAACTATGATAATTGACTCGCATATGCAAGCTCTTTTTGTACCGTGTTTCTTCACGTTCTATGTTGTTAATACATATATTGGTAATCTATTATCATTTATGAATGAGATCTCCGATTGTAAGATATTAGACCCACAATATGAGGTCCCTTAAAATCTATATAAAACTTTTACACCTCTTTTTAATCCCTGTAAGTTAAACTTTGAATTTTATAAGCACTTGATTCTGTATGAAAATTGAAGTTGATGTAGACATAACCAACATTCTGCAAAAGTCGCTTTAAATATAATATTTATAACTGTGTACTTGATGGCCTTCAAGCATATTTAATGATCTAGTTAACTAGGTTAATGCAAAAATAAATATAATTTAAATAAATTAATTACGTGGTTAATTTAAAATATCGAATTATTTATTTTCCTGTATAGAGAATACTTGAATGTTATAGTTATGTTTTTAAAATACCTTATTGGTTTTAACTTATTCGGGCCTCTTGATAGATCCTACTAGAAAGTTGTGGTAATATCGGAGGATTGCGAAAATCGCAGCAAATCGGTAGAGATGCGGGAAAGCACGCGGCCTTGGGCGCTCTTTATTTTAAGCTCGCGAGCGAAATATTTAAAAAAAAATTTACATTCGCACGTTTAATTAGCCCCAATCGATTTTAATAATCTTTTTCGTTAACACTTACGTTGGAACGAAATAGAAATTAAACGTCATGTATTTAAGTTGAAAATTGATTTTTTTAAAGTTTATTACGAATAAAAGTGGCAAAACTTCACAATAAAATTTAAGTCAACGTAATTGACCACCCATTTAGTGTTTAAAATAAATTTTTACCTTATAGTATAGTCTACCTCATAGTATCTTAACAAACTAAGAATATTAAATTGTAAGACATATGAACTTTTTTTGCTTGTAAAATTCTCAAGGATGAAAAAAAAACCTGTAGAGATTTTAACAGATTATAAAAACGAATTAGTCTATCTATATTCTTATATACTTTCAGCACTAACTCATTGCTGAGAAAAAGCTCAAAGAATTGTGCGTATTGCTTGTGAGCGCTTTTATTTATATCCTTTGGATTATTCAGTACGTTGGGTGAAAAATGCTCCACGCGGGGGGCGTATGAAGTGCCCCGAAGCTTTAACAGCCCATGAATTATTGAAATTTTATTTTTTTTATTTGAATTATTTAACAGCGCGACTCACGTCTAGCCTGTACAGCGTTAGTCGCCCAACTAGTTTGGGATGCGACGCCAATGGAATTCGTGTCGATAGATGGCGGCACTCGTTAAGGGATTTGTCGCAGATATCGATCCAGAGCCTGTCATGTACGTTTTGTTCCGCTTTTTCGATTCCCTTTGATATTCTATCGAGTTTCGTCTTGTGTTTCGTGAGCAAAATTGTTGGTAGCCAGTCGATGTCCTCAGATAGCGATTAATGAGGAATATGATTCAGCGATCGGGTATTCGAAGCATTTGATCGGTAAACGATTAGATAGAAGATATCGTACTATATGTGTTAGCGGAATGAAGTGGGATTTTGTAGCCTATTGCTTTATTAATAAGATTCTAATAATTGTATCGTTAATTTGAAGTGCTTTAAATTCATTGTGAAAGAGTTGTGAATACAATGATTTTTATTTTCTAAAATTTATACATTTGGTCATTTATCAAATCTTTTGACGTGCAGAATTCAATGCAAGCTTTGTGTTGCATGTCTTTTAAATACTTCGTTACTGTATCGATCTACTCTCTGAGTATATCCAGTTCTAGATAAGGGCTTAAGAGGCTTTAAGGATAGCTGGGTTTGACCCGATCCTTCTTTGTATATCTTCCCGCGACGTGGAAATTGTTTCCTTTTGTTTTCTGACTCACCTGATGGTAGGTGATTGACGCCGCCCATGAACAGCTGCAACACCCGAGGCTCCTTTAAGGAAAGATTTCTTCTTATTCTTTTTTCTTAAGTACGTGGCAGCGCATCCCGTATCTTAAACTCAGGGTGAAGGAAATATTGGTCAGAGGAGAAGGCCTTTGCCCAACAGTAGGACATATATAGGCTGCTACTTTAATTTTCTTTACACGCTTTATTTCAAACAGTACCCGGGGCGTGAAGAAATATGTGGTAGATGCAATAAGTCAAACATCAAACCGACTCGATTTAAGACGAGAATATCGTTTGTAAACGTTGCCAACTCCTGCTGTGTATCTGATCTCTCAGATCACTGAGGCCGCTGCGATGTAAACTCGCATCCGGAGTTTCAGTCGTATCTCCCATAGTGATCCGTTAGCCGAATACAGAAGAGCACGATAAAAAGCCGCCCTCCGTCCGTCCGTGGCATACCGGGATGCTATATCAATATTGATTGATTGTGGTAAAAAGTTTTCGGGGGCGGCGCGACGCTCCCTCCGATACAGATGTCAAAAAGCGACAGACATGTGTCGTGAATACTAAACCCGCGGGATGCCTTCGAGCCGACTGTTGTGGTGTCTTTTTATATGACATCATTCGATCCTTTATGTAGAGAATTCGCGATGATATCGTCGGATGGTCTTCAGTCTTCGCCGATTGCTTTTTAATTGTTTTAGCTAACTACGATAGCTGCTCTAGTCGATTGAAGAATTGTGTTGTCTGATTACCCTAATATGTTAGAAAGGTTGGGCATTGCGACGATGCAGCTATGTTTTTAACGTTTGCTTTTGATCAAAACTCTCAAGGAAATGTATTCCTTAGACATGAAAGAAAAATTATAGAACAATACTACCAATACCATTTTGTGTTTCCTAATCAGTGTGTTAACTTTAACTTTCAGTTTTGACTGGTATTATATCAATGGATTATAGTTCCATACATTAAAATACTTTATCTGTGAAGCTTACCTCATTGCTCATAGATAACAAAATAGCATTTAAAAAGAAAGCTCGTTCATACATTAAATACTTTATCTGACATTACACTAGTTTGTTTATAGCTGATAGCAAAATGGCATTTACAAAAACATCACTTTTTGGGTCTCTCCGTTCGCTACGACTCTTTCGCAGTTTAGTTACTCTTCGTTTTGATGTATTGAAATATTTTTATACTACTAGAGCCAAGTTTCTTCATAAAAGTCTGCATCGAACGTAAAAGTTGACACATACTTTGGACAAGGAATGAATATAGTAAAAATATAGACGAACTTTTTGGTAACGGCATCGTTTTCCGAATTTAAAACGTTGTCAGTTTAGGAATATTAAAAAAAAAAAAACACACAGTGGCAGCGCGAAAACATTTGCCACCTGCACATCTCGCATTCGGCGGGCGTAGAGTGGGCACAAATCCACTCGGCGCTTCGATAGGCAGCGCGTGCGAACGCCAATAACGGTGCGTGCGTATTCGCACGACGCGCATTCCGATGCATTATTTATGCGCGCCCGCGGCGCTTTTCCGCCATTTTCCTTCGCCCGTTTAATCTTTTTTTTTATCTGAACGAACACCCCCGTTTAGTGCTGGCCGGTGAGATGGATCATGTCGAAAATTAAGAATAAAAACCGAATACGTCAATGTCTCGGGACGTTGGCAGGAGAATGATTATTTGTTCCTTTTTTCTGTATGGCATTTTCTAATTTGTAAACACCATTACTGGTGAGAGATCATAATCATAAAGTCAATCTAGGTCATAAAATACAATGCTAAATTCGTATCATCGCTAAGAGCGATAATACGCATATAGCATTCTACTTTTTAATGCCGATTTGTGGCTGTTATTATTATAGTATTATTTTATACCGTGCTAGCTCTAGAACAATCAAATTAACAATTTAAACAATGTATGCGAAAATGAAATATAGCTATTAGCTATAATATAGCTATTAGCTACACTTTTCACAATTTCTGTTTCTGATTAAACAGTTTCATTTTTAGATAGCACTATCAAAGTCGCGAATAACGGCTTGTAATAAATAGCGGTATGGCGCAACAGACTCGGTTCCATTTTCATCACTATTGTTCTATCTCGATGCTTTTTGTGTACGCTGTAATTGTTTTTATTCGTAACTTGTATTTTTAATTCTAACCGAGTGGAACGCCGTGCATTATTTATGAGGGCTTCGCGAGGTTTTCCGTCATCCGCTTTGGCTCCTATAGAGCTGACGGGTCCACCTTAACAGCGGGTGCCCGGCGAGGCTTGTTAGGTGCCTCTTGAATTGGAGATGCCGAAGCCCGTGCCCCTCAATTAAGACGGTGCTGGCGTTGGGTTTTGCGCACTACGTTCAATTATACGTCATTAGCGTTTTTGTTGTAACGTTAAATATTCATGTTACTCTCCGTGGGATTGGATAGCTTTTTTTCGTTGAATTGCAGAGGTCTTACCTGCCAGCTCTAAGTATGCGTTTACCACTGGCAGGAACTACACTCATTGCAATTGGAGTCCAACAAATAACTTTTAAATGGTCAGATGAAATGTTACTTTTAGAATAGAGTTTGATTATGTATAATTAGATAAACGTAGCTGTAGTAGTAAATAGTTTATTAAAATTGCATGCTAAAATAGCTCCCTTAATTTAATGTTTTATACATTTAATCCGATTTTTCACGTTTCATTCTAACATTTAAATTCGTTCAACGCGAGATCGTAAATGAATTCTTGGTAGAAGTATACAAGGAAGAATTTCGTATGAACAAAACTAGTTTCTTCGTGGAAAAAAAAAT